CTTAACACAAAAGCGCTTCAAAAACTTCTCAGTGTGAAGGCAGCCTATTGGCCGAAAAGGTGCTGAAAATAAATTCATACTCATTTAAATTCATGATATTAAATAAAAAGTCGAATATAATACGATTATATATATAAAAAAAATATATATATATATTATATATATATATATATATTATATTAGCATATTATATTCGACTTTTTCATTAATATCATGATTTTAAATGAATATGAATTTATTTTCAGCACCTTTTTCGGCCAATGATGTAAATGTACAATATATATATAAAGCGCTGCGTAAATCGACAGTGCTATACAAGTACCTGTAGTAAATTTAAAAAAAAAATTGTATATATATATATATATATATATATATATATATATATATATATATATATATATATATAATGTCTATCATGGTTTTGAGCCAAATGCATCCCGAATTATTGATTTCAGTCCAGAATTTTCATTCTGGTGCACCCCCAGTTGCTACAATAAAATTAGTGTGAATGAGCCCTTAGAATGGAGAAGATGCGTGATTTGGGCAATTTTAGCCATAAAATGACTGCTTGCAGTTACACATCTCAGAAACTGCTGACCTCGCAGGATTTTTACCTTTTGTCCTAGTAGGTTTCGAGGGTCAGATAGTGATGACCAACAAGCATGACTTCTGCTACAATAAATAAAAGCTGGAATGGAGACAGAAGATCAATGACTAGCCTGTCTGCAGGTTGGTGGTGGTTCAGTGGTGTGGGCAGTGCTTTTCTAGCTGCCTTTGTGCCTCTGGAAACTACCTCAACCTCATTTGAATGCCACAGCATTGCCAAACATCTCAGTCCTTCATAGCTACTCGATTGTTGTGAGCTCCAACTTGCCTGTGGAAGAATTCTCTGGTGGGCCACAGCAAGCCAGCTCAGACACTGGTCCCCCACAGAGCAGTGGCAAATATTCAGCAGCCATGTACACTCTGCATGTTGGGTGGGTGCAGTGGAAGTAAACAAACTGAGGCCCAGGGTGCAGAAACATATGTATTGTAGAACTTGCAAACAGTGCAAAAACCTGAAGGGAAAACTCACCTGACCGGGAACTTACAGTCAATGCAGCAGAAAGTCAGTGGTAGTAGGTCCAAACTGCACTTGCCAAGGAGAGTGAAGTGTGGCCTAGGTGGTCCAAACCATAAGGAAGCTTGCTGAAATGCAGACATAGGCAATGGTGCTCTCCCTGAGAGACAGGTAGGCTCTCTCGACACTAGCCACTTTGCAAATTACACCAAAACCTGAGGCCAGGGACTTAAAAAGACTCTGCATGACCCAAGATGGCCACCTGCATGCTGCTTAGCCAACCGGAATGCTGCTCCAGGAAACCAAGACTTCCTCTCTAGCTGCAGTACCACCTACAGTGGAGAAAATAGATTGCACCTGCCCACATGTACATGGTCTCTAAAGCCATGTATCCCATCCTTTGACTCTGACATAAATTTTGCCATGTTTTCCATATTTCCAACTTCTGCATGGTGTTATGAAAAGTTACCAGCAGATTCATTCACCATCTGTGAAAAAAGTTAGGAGATATCAGTTCTGGATGGTCTGGCTCCTGCAAGGAAAACTGCCTTTAGATGAATCTGTGTTTTCCATGCAGGTCAAAGCAAAAGTGTTAACTGCAAAGCGGACCTTGAACAAAGAGCAAGGCCCTTCTATTAGCTTTGCTTATCAGCCTCAATGTAAAATGCTGGAAAAAAAAAAAAGTGTCTATTTATTTTTTATAAATAGAAACTAGTCAATAAAATACTTTTTTCCCTGTCCTTCATAGTGCAGGGGTGACATGATCTTACTTGCAGCAACATCCCAGAGCAGGTCTCACGAGATGCCGTATGAGAATTGTGCTACTCGGTATTCATTGTGATCTCAGTGAAAGGAGAATGGTGACACCCTGGCATAGGCACCACTGGCAAGTAAAGGAAAGTATTTTTTTTTATTTTTTAACTACATTTATTTTTTTTTCTTATTGCGATCACATTTAGGAACGGGGGAGAGGAGATCTGTCAATAAATAAACCTTTCATCTGTAATGCAAGGTCTACTTTACCCCTTCCCTACCAAGCAGTACCTGCTCACCTTTCCTTCACCCTTACCCCCACCACATACACTCCAGAGACACCACCCCATGTATACGAGGAGTGTTTCGAGTCGTAGCTTACTCACTACTATGGACTGATAATTGGTCCTAGGTATATTATGCCATATCTGGAATTCTATTATATATTGAGATATATCTGCTCCAGCACACTTCATAAGCCTCATGACAACCAAGTCTCATGCCCGACAGCTTTGCATGAAACGAAGAAAAGCCTCCATCACATAAAACCATAAACCTAATCCTTTACTGGTTATCAGCCCCACTTGCTCTCATTGCAAGTCTGGTCCCACATCTACGGTGTCACTTCCAGTTGTGCGACATCAGTTCCTGTGGCTCCGCCCCTACGCGTTTCATCAACTGCCATCCTCAGAGAGCAATACAGGAACGATGCACTCTGCACTTCTTATACTATACTTATATAAGCACAGCACTGGACAGTTTATACATATGTTTTTGAAAAATTGATTTAGAGAGATCTTTTCTCTTTTTTACAGTATATAGCAATGTATATATAGATAAAATTGTAACACCTAAAGATATTTGAAACAGCTGCTGAGAAATGTATTTTCTTTTCCATTTAGGGTACGTAAAGTAAAATTGATTGATATTTTTCAGTAAGTCTGACATCATGGCAAGCAGTAGACACTGCTTAAAACAGATCATTTTTTGGTGAATCTGTTGCAGTTTCTATGTGGAGACCTTGCCAGTAACAGCATATTATGTTTCAGGCCAACAATGCTAAGCCGCTACCTTGCACTTGGTCAGCTTGCTGTGCACGCTTCTTCAGTTGGGCATATGGTCAGGCTTCACATCACTCGTACTAGCATTCTCAGAAGGTAAGCTTTGGCAGCCTCCATTTTTTTTTTTTTGGGGGGGCAAGTTTCCCTAAAAAAAAAGTCACACTCCCACCATCCAGCATATTCACTCTGTTCAGAAGTCACCTTCGCTTATCAAACATTGGTGGAAATAAGACACAGGACACAGACAACCCAGAAAAATTTGTGCAATGCTACTTCACATTTACAGGACAGGAGAATAATATGCCCCCTCCCGCCCACGTAACATCCCAACCCACGTCATACCCACAAGATATCCTCTTCCCCTAATCCATAGTTACGAACACATTGGCACATGTAGTTCTTCCACGCCTCACACTGGTACACAAGAAAGGCGTAGAAAGGGGAGGCAAATATGGACACAAAGAAGGACTTGAGGTGGCTGGAGTGTAACAAAAAAAATGAATAAACGTGGAAAATCTCAGGCCACAAGACGAGAATCTGGGAAGAGGCGAAAAAGCTGCAGGTCGGCGGTTGTGGAGTGACAAGAGCTTGAGGAGATGGGAAGGCTTCCTGGGGAAGAGGCCACAAGTTGGGCAGAGCAGTTCCATGGTTCTTGCCCCCACATCAAGTCCATATCGTTTTCTGGAAGGCCATACAGGGCAGGTAATTAGGGCAAATGCAGATTTTTGTACCCTAAGTAACTGACCTATCCAATTCCTTGCAACAGTTGCTTGTTATCGAAAAGAGAAAGGAAAGAGAGTGAGAAGGCCGCCGTGTGAAGGAGGAGACCGTGAAAAAGCCGTCAAGGAAAGAGCTGGAGAGAGCAGTACTAGCATCCAATAAATAAATAAATATACAGATTTAAGGCACCCCCTCATAAATGAATAGAGACTGACTCTGTTGTACTGAAGAACCCCCATCTCTTTCCAAGAAATGGAATGTAATCCGTATAGCTTTCCTTCGTGAACTCGAGTCCCAGGCAGGCACCTTAAAAAATTCCAGTACCGCCATTCATTCATTGGTCAGATCAAATCTGAAAATCCGGGGTAACACATTCTTCTTTTCAATGGTCTTAAATGATCTTCAGGACGAGGATATTTAAAACGTATCTTTCCATTTTGTCTGCCACCTACCTAACTGCTACCTCTTTACAACATTCTTCTTCAAAAAAAATTTTTCAATCATAAGCCCCTTAAAGCAAACCTTGCAAAACAAAAAAATTACATTCTAACGTTATAGTATACATTGCCCCAGGCTGTGTAAAGTTGGTGAAATGTGAAGTATCTAAAGTGCAAATACTGGCCCCACCCTCTGCATGTTGCTGGCTGCACCAAAGTTCTGTGTTGACCCCCAGAGTTTCTGGGCATGTGATATCAGTAATCTGCCTTCTCAGCCGAGCTGCAGAGATAAACGTGTGTGTCTGAGGTCTCAAGGGATGATGGGCTTTAGAAACTAAGCGCTTTAGGTGTGGTTTGAGGCTACACCAATATTGTTCCAAAATGCTCTACTACACAGGAAAGTGCCAGGAATATAACAAACCTCTGTTATATAAAAGCTGAAATTGAATATGTACAGGCTTGTTTTAATGAAATGTAAGGTCTACTTTAAACTTCGTCATTTGACATTCCTCTGTCAGTTATTGACCCAAATGCTTTTTTTTTTTTTCTTTTCTTTTTTTAAATATTGACCTATGCTTCTATCCACTGCCTTTTATGTCACCCTGCAACATTTTGACCAAATAGAATTTCTTTTCCAAATTTTCAAGGCTAAAATTGCACAGTCTTTGCTATGGAATGGCATTGCCTAGGTTTTCTTTCCTTGGCGGCAGTAGTAGGGAAGATCCAACTCCATGCTGCTAGTAATGCTGCTTTTCCCACAGTGTTAGCAATGAAGTTCTTCTTATGTTCTCCTTAGGTGGCCAAATTAATCTGTTTTGGGGCAGCAATGCTCTTTTTATTGTAGGGATTGTTTTTCAAATGGTCTTGCTCTCTCTCCTCTCCCTCTAGATGGGTCCCTCCTCCTGGCTTCTCCTGAATGGGGGTGTTCCCTGGCCAACAATGACAAGAAAAGGATGGTAGAAAGGGGGATCAGTGTCCACCACCAGGTTCTTTTCCTGGACGCTCATTTGAGATTTCAGTAAAAGTCTCAAGCATCAACCCTCTGACTTTGTCGGCAAGACCAGGGACGTCATCAGCACACAGGCCTTTGGTGGATACACCCGGGAGGATCTGCACTGTACATTTCCCTGAAAGACAAGATAAAAAATACAAATGACGGGGGGAGGACACAGCATTGTGGAAGATGACATTGTTTGACATAAGCATAAAAGTTTAAAAAAAGTAGTTAGTTTTTGTTTTCTTTTTTAAATACTTCACTTATTTTCATCCTTTTCCTATCTCAGTTCCGATCTTTCACAGACTTTTTCAACCACTCCTTGTCCGCATTCATTTCAGTGACAGTTGAAAGAGGAATACCAGGGGGGTGCTAACTAGGTGTAGTATTAAATACACAAGTTTGTTAAAAAGCGAATGGGCAACTCACATGTAAAAAGAGGAAGGTGGGCATGTCTGATTTATCTGCTGTCTGATGGTTGGCACAAGTCACGTTCTCCGACTGGACTGATGTTTCTGCTCCTGGCCACACTGAAAGACCATGAGGGATGGCGACTTGACGCATCAGGAAGTCAGGTAACCCATGGTCTTCGAGCGTGGTGAGGCGTGCCTGCATTTCTCTTTTTACATGCGAGTTGTCCATTGGCTTTTAATACTGCACTTAGTTGGCACCCCCTTGGATTCCTTTTTCAGATAGTTTGCTTCACTTTGTGGGGCTGCTGCCACTTTCTGCTACAAAAGCCATGTATTATTGTGGACTTTTATGCATACAACATGTTTTTTTTACTTTGTATATTGGGGTATTATACACTTTCTCCAGCACCATTTATATCTATTGTATATATTTCAGTGATGTTTGCATGGCATTTCTCATGGCGGGTTTCCTGATGGTGACACCAGTGGACCATGTCTGTGTAACAGGCGTTGAAATGGCCACTTGTAGTTCCTAACAAAAGCCTGTTTGACAGGGTGACAACACAAGAGCAAAATTGGGGGCCAAGAACAGAGCAATGTAAGCCTATAACAGATAGTGTCTGAACACAGACATTCAAGGCAGGATCAGGTGGGAGTTGCAGATATTGAAAACAATGTCATTACCAGGTTAAGTGCCGGGTTCACATATATGCGGATTGGATGCAGTTTGAACTGCATCCAATCCACAGGACATGTGAAAAACATTGCTTCCTATGGTGCCTGTTCACATGTGGCTGGTGCACTGGAGGTGCAGATTCCATGTGGATTGAAAAAGAGTCCTGTCTGATTTCTGAGCAGTGCGGTCTGGTTCAGGTGTGGATTACAGGCTATTGACTTCTATGGGGACCGTTTTGAAACCGCACATGAGTGTGAACAGGATGAAATCCTGACCTGAACCTGAAGTTAACCTGACCTGAACCGCTGAACAACTACTGTGTCAATTAGCTGTGAAACCTGAGATTCAATCTGCACTGTACATGTGTGAATCAGCTCAAAAGGTTGTACGAGATTGTAGCAATTTATATCTACTTTAACACCCTGATCACATCGGGTGCGACTTGGCATGCATTTTGCATGCCATGCAACTTGCAAATCTATGCCAAGTCGCACCCTGTTGTCCGCAATTAGAGCGGTCAAATCGGTGCAGTTCCAACATGTACTACGTTTCTTGCGACTTGCATAGACATCTGTGTCAGATGTCTTGCAAATCTCACCTGAAATCGGCATCTCACCTGACTTTGAAATCGTGCGACTTCACTTTAAGTCGCGCGATTTCAAAGTCGGACTTGATGTGACCAGGGTGGGGGGGGGGGTAAAAGGAAAACTTCCCCTCGCACCCCATTCACACTTGAGCGACTTGTCATGCGACTTTGGACAAAAGTTGCATGACAAATTGTACCCCAAGTTTTCCACTGATAACCATTCATATATGTGCGACTTAAAGTCAAAGTGACTTCAAAGTAGTTCATGCACTACTTTGGTCCGACTTTCATGCAACTTGAGGGCCACAGACTTCAATGTTAACCTTCATCATTTGCATGAAAGTCGTACCTGAATGTTTTACATGCCACAATGGGTCCATCTTTGCAGAGGGACAAGTCACATCCAAGTTGCATCAAAGTTGCACCAAAACGGCACTCCAATATCAAGCGACTTTTGGAGCGTACAAGTGTGAATTGAGCCTAAAAAAATTCTACAAAGATGCCCCTGAAAAAGAACATAGGTAATACTCCTCTGTCCAGCTGCTCTTCAGTTTTCTTCATCCACCCAAGCATGTCGAGTGCCTGGTTTTCCGTTGCACAATGTGGTGTCATCAGTACTGCTTCCTGTAGGTCTGTCGCCTGGGGAGCCACAGCATAGAGAAAGAGACCAGGTATCCGACACACCAGGAAGTATTGGATACAGAATACTCCTCAGGCAGAAGTATGTCTTCAACAGAATATTCTCTTGAAGTCTTTACCTCTTCCTGCTCATTTTCTAATTTCAGTGTATTCCCCATTCAACGCTGGCTAAAAATTTTAAAACAGTACTGGTAGAAGGAGACTGGCAGAAGAAGTCCACTCTGTTGAACATCAACGCTACCAGTTGAGCCTGGGCCATGCTTGAGACTCCTGTACCCTTCATATTTCTGGTCCCTTAGTCGTGGCTTTAAGCATTTTTGCCAAGGCACTCTTGAAGAATCCCGACGGCAATGCAGTTGAAAAAAAAAAAAAAGCTTACCTAGAGGGGTTCTCCCGCAGGTTTGATAAGCCTAAAACTGGAGAGTACAAATTTTGGTGAAGCTCTGCATAGAAACCAATCAGCTTCCAGGTTTTATTGTCAAAGCTTAACTGGACAAACTAAAGTTAGAAGCTGATTGGCTGCCATACAGAGCTGCACGAGGTTTTGCACACTCCACTTTGAGTAAATCAACCCTATAGGCTTATCAAACCTGCAGGAGAACCCTTCTAGGTCAGCTTTTTTCAACCACATTGCCATCAGGGTTCTTCAAGGGTGCCTTGGCAAAAACACGGTCTAAAAATTGTCGCTTAGCTGGACTTATTTTGTTACATAAAGCCACAGGTTTTTATTGTGCAGCATTCCAGCCTTGGGCACTGTGCAGGCCAGTCTCCGGCACAATGTGTTGAAAAGTCCTCCTGCAGACCCGGATGAATGCTATGTTGTTCAATGAACAGATGTCTAGCATTCTTCAGGATTCTCATCTGAGATTCCTTAAGGTTATTCCTTGCCATCCTTGCCTCCTACTAGTTATGGCCTCTTATAGTCGCTGCCTGTACTAGCCCTGGATCCATGATCCTTTTAGTTACTCTTCTTCCATGTTTTCTTTCTGATTCCACTTTTTGTTTTATTTTCTTTTTCCTTTCTTCTAACCTTTTTTTGCCGATATTATGTTGGATTACTGCTGCTACTTGGTTCGGCTTTTTCCATCCCTCCTTGATGTCATTGGACATTTTGTTATTAGACTAATACAAGTCAGCAGGATGTATCTGTTTATGTGTTATTATTCTGCTCTGCCCCTGTGTGGGCGTATTTTGAGCTTGTCGTATTCTTAAAACAAAAATTTCTTAATAAAAAATATTGAAACAGAAAAGTCCTCCTGCTTGCCCCTTTCAGGCAGCACTTGTGGTCGTGTTAGCTGAGTGAGGGAGAACAAAGGGGGTTATTTACTTAAACTGGAGAGTGCAAAATCTGGTGCAATTAGCTTCCAGGTGTGTTGTTGTCTAAGGTCAATTGAAACAAGCTGACGTTAGAAGTGGATTGGCTCCCATGCACAGCTGCATTAGATTCTGAGTGCTCCAGTTTTAGTAAAATCAACCCTCAACACAGTACCAGTGTGCAAAGGTATATTTGCATTGCAATGTTGGGTGTCTATGTGTGTAGATTCTGCTGCAATATGTAAAGCTATTAGTTTCGTTTTTCACATTTTAAAATGGGGTGCTTCGAGATTGTGCAGAATTTAAAAGGGTTCATTGACTGAACAAGGTTGAGAAACACTTGCCTAGGTCAAAGGTATATTATTTGGGGGCTTCTTTTTAGCGTTTAATAAATGCAGGCAGCATAAGGAACAGGAAACGTAATGTAAGCCATAAATTCTTCTGTAAAGAATATTAAAAAAAGGAATGCTCAACAAGCACAAATGAGGCAAGTATGCTACTCTTCCTCTCCAGAAAGTCATAGAAACAAAAGAATGATGGCAAAAAGGACCAAATGGTCCATCAAGTCTGCCCTTTATTTTAATTTCTTTTTGCAACCATTTTGTTTAAGCATAGATCATGGTTTGTCCCAAGCATGTTTAAAGTGGTTCTAAAAAGGCAGAATGTTTTTTACCTTAATGCATTTTATGCACTAAGGTAACCCCCCCCCCCCCTAAAAAAAACCCTTCTGCCTGCAGCTCCTCCCTCCCTTATACTTAGCTGAGCTTCTTGCTCCAGCGATGTTCATGAGAGCTACAGCTCTCCCAGGTCTCTCTCTCCCTCATTGGCTCACACAGCAGTGGGAGCCATTGGCTCCTGCTGCTGACAATCACAGCCAGCGAGCCAATGAGGAGAGAGTGGGTGGGAGGGGCCGAGCCATGCGCTGTATGAAAATGGACCATGTCCATTCACAGGAGTGAGCCTGCTCGAGTGCTCCCATAGCAAGAGGCATGCTATTGGGGGGCACTCGGCTGGAGCCAGGACTGCCAGCCGGGGACCCAAAAAATAAGAGGATAGGGGCACCTCTGTGCAAAACCATTGCCTTGAGCAGGTAAGTATAACATGTATGCTATTTACAAAAAAAATTCCAACCTTTAGAATCACTACCTCTGCTGGAAGTCAGTCAGTAGCATTTAAACATGCTTGGGTCAAACATCGACCTATACTCAAACAAAAACAAAAAAGTATTTTTCTGTCATCGTCCTACTAAATGACTTTCTGAGAAAATGAGTAATTCTGCCCACAGCCTAGCCTCAACTTGTGCTTGCTATAGACATGTGTTTTTTATCTTATTTTCTACAGAAATTGTTGGTTTTTTTGTCATAGCTGATGTGGTCTGAATCACTCAACTCCCATGATACAGCAGCAGCAGCATCAGCTTTGTTTGTGTAGCATGGGCTGTCAATCACGGCACAAACAACGCATGTCAGATATTGGTCTCCTAATTAGCTTCTCTACTGTTGCAAAGCGGTGAGGTAGAATTCTAGCCGAAAACATTTATTGATTTGAACACGCATGCATCTTAAAAAGTATCCTGTTCTTTTCTGTTAGATCAAATGTCTTTCTTGTAGCATGCATAAAAGATCTCCAAGCCAGCCAATCACTTCATCCCTCACATCCAGGAGCTCACCTGTTGTAAATTTTTTGTCTTTCTTACTGTAGAAATCCTTATAGGAAGACATGATGACGGGGATAACCGGGACCTGCACAGACCAGAACAAGGATTAGATAAAAACATAGGAGACGTCAAAGAATAATAAATGATTGAAAAAAAATTTATAATAATAATGTTATTATTATTATAGTAAGTACATACACACGTATATATATATCCCACATACACACATAATATTATACACAGTGTACATGGAGGAAGCCATAGTTCTGCATTACCTTTATTTTCTATTGTATTCTATTCCTTTATATCCTATTCTATTATATTCTTTTTCAAAATTCAAATTTTGGAAGACCGCTATATTCTATTCGAATTTTGAAATTTGAATTTCAGAGGAAAGCTATATTCTGTTTTATTCTATTCTATTTTTTTCTATTTTATTTTATTCGGTTTTCAAAATTTGAATTTTGGAAGACGACTATATTCTAACACTAGTACACATAGACCTTGAAGGAAATTAGCAATAGTCAGAAATAAGTTTACATTATGAATTTTCTTGAGAATTCAATTTCATTTTCATTCGTACAATTCGTTATATAAGCAGCACAGTGGTTAAATGGTTAGCACTTCAACCTAGCAGTATTAGGGTCATTGGTTTGAATCCCAACCACGGCACCACCTGTCTGGAACTTGCATGTTCTCCCTGGGCCTGTGTGGGTTTCCTCTGGGTACTCCAGTTTCCTCCCACACTCCAAAGAGATGCTGGTAGGTTAATTGGCTCCTGTCTAAATTGGCCCTAGTATGTGTATGTATGAATGTGAATTAGGGACCTTAGATTGTACGCCCCATGAGGGATAGGGACAGATGTGAATGTATAATATATCTATGTAAAGCGCTGCGTAAATTGCCGACACTATACAAGTACCTGTAATAAATAAATTTTGGACGAAAGTTTATTTTGTTATTTCAGGTTAGTTTAAATTCATTACTATTGTAATAATGAAATTCAAATTTATCTGAGTCTCTGAATAATGAAAATTTTGTCCCGAATTTCAATTTGGAACAAAACAAACCACAACTGTCTACTCTTGATAGATTATGACAAACAAAAATGATAACTGGACTGATTCCTAATGCTTGGCACTTTCATCCTTCCACTTCACATAGGTTGGCTTTCCAAGGAACACTGTTGGGAGTTTATCGTGCATTAGAGAGTTGCCATATGTTAGCAATAACTGGTTAATTCAGGACCTCTGCCATGTTTGGAGTCCCGTGCTCCACCACCATAGTTCAGGAAATGCTGGAAGCACCAAACGGGGGTTAAATAGAACAAGAACAAAAATGTATAGGCTCAAAAGAAAAACTGTACAGAGACAAAATATACTGATTGCCATTGCCAACCTTCTTTAAAAAATTCTAGCTGTCAGGGTGTTCAATTAGTCCAAAGGCTTTGAAGTGGTATTAAAAACAAAACAGTAAAATCAGTCTGTACATGCAGCAAAGCAAGCTTGTTATACTCAGTGGAAGCTAAGGGGTTAAATCCTCTGCATTGTGCAAAAACGATGTTTGATCCTGTCTTCTCTGATCCTCCCCTTCTTCTACTGTCCCCAATCCTTCTGCTGATAGAACAGAGCCTTAGGGGCAAACTGCACATGTTCAGTATGGTGTGTATTGCTAGAGAGGTTTTTTTTTTTTGGAAGGGTGCGTGTGATCAGTACAGGGCCAATCAGCACTGTCCAAACAGAGAATCAGGGGTTATGAAGACTCATAGGACAATCAGGAGAGAATGAAAACTCCTCCTACAAGCTTTAACCAGTGCCCTGCTAGGCACTGATAGTAGTCACAAGACTGCTATATACTCTTGATGGTAAAAGGTAGTTAGCAGTTTATATTTACTAAAATAATTGCATTTCCACATTCTGTGTACTGTGGGAGACCAGATATAGTGAATGCAGGGTCCTGGGTTTAGTAACACTTTAATATTTTCTGAGTAATCAACCCAGAACAAGCATGCAGCCAATGTAACCAGAATTCCCAGTCCAAGTACTTGTTTCAAAGACTTCAATACTTTGAATCGATGATCCAGAACAACAACGACCAGATCATTCACACTTTCAAAAGGAGAGGTCAGCAATGGCAGCCTGCATATCTTCTCAGATAGCCTCAGTATTTCCACTCCCCAGCTAAATTCTGGGGGAAAAAAAAAGATTTACAATTGATAGTCTCCTCCCCACCATGTTGATGTATTTATGCTTCCAGAGAAGTAAAAAAATAAAGAATTTTGACTTTTATCTGCATGTATGTGCCGGGTCGGAACCTCAGATACTGAAGCAAATAATGAAGGGTCTACGGTCAAGGAGAACAATGTTGCTCAGAGCATTCTAGGTCAGATCAGGCTGTTCTTTTGATGATGATTATTACACATCAGATCATAGCATGAAATTGTCATTCATTGACCGATGCATTGGAACTGCAGTTGACCTTCTACCTGCTTCAGTTGGATTTCATATTCCCATAGACTTGCACGGTAACGTAAAATCTGTCTAATGCAAACAGAAGCCCTCAGCAAGGACCCTTAGAATTCATAGTACTGAGTGACCAGACTCTTACCTGAGCTTGCACAGCCAGGTGAAAGGCTCCTCGTTTGAATGGCAGGAGAGAACCACTGTGATTTCTGGTACCTTCTGGGAATACCCACACGCGTACCTGAGAGGAGATGGAAGGGTAAAAGCCATTGTAGGGAATGGCGACACAAATGGATAAAACTCGACCTTTTGGTTTTCTAGGCTTTTCTCTCAATTTCAGACTATACAGTATATACACTGTATTGATATGTCCAAAAGCCCCCCACATCAATCCCAAACGGTCTCTGCTGATTAACTACTCAATCTGATATCCCTGAAGTCTATCGGTATTCATTCTAAAGTGAACCTGTCACACAAAAATGATCACATTCTATCAACATCATTCGCTGCGAGTAGGCACCACATACCGTGAAAATTATGTTGGCAAGCCCCCAAGCCCCACTGTATTCAGCAGGTACGCCTTGAATAATTCCCCAGCTGATCGCACACCAAGGCCCCTTTCACACAGGGTGGACTCCGCCAGGAGTCTGCTTACTTAGAGGGGGATCTGTCAGCTGATCCCAGAAGGGGGATGACAGGTCCGTGTCCTTTCCTAATTATGCAGAGTGGACATAGACACAGCCTATTCTCCTGTATGGGTAGGAAGAAGGGTCAGCCGCACACCAGAGAATAGATGAATATAGTGTGTATTTATTGATCCATAGGACACACAAAACACCAGGACATGAATACAGGACCTGTTAACGCGTTTCACACGATCGCGTGCTTAATCATAACGATTATGATTAAGCACGAGATCATGTGAAACGCGTTAACAGGTCTTGTATTCAGGTCCTGGTGTTTTGTGTGTCCTATGGATCAATAAATATACACTATATTCATCTATCCTCTGATTTGCGGCTGACCCTTCTTCCTATTGCATCGTGTGTGGTGGTGAGCCAGAGCCTGCACCTGTTGTGGATTGATCTGGATTGTTTGCCTGAGCGGTATACCTTTGTTCTTTGGATTCACTCCTCTATGGGTGGTCGGATGTAAAACGGACTGCCTGTCTATTTACGCCAGACTGCCATATGATCCGATCGGCCCAGATGCATGGGAACAGACCCCCATCCATCTGTTTTTAGTGGATCGGATTGGATGTAAGTGGGTGTAAAAGAGATACATGTCCGTTTACACTCGGTGCTCCATAGAGGAGAATGGAGGGTCCGATCAGATCCGCCTGAAAAAAGGACCCGATCTGACCGCTACTGTTAAAGGGGCTTAGTTTACAGCATGGGCTCTCAATTTCAACCAAAATGAATAGTCAGCTTGATCCTTTCACTGCATAGATGCTAGTCAATTTTTATGTATAGCCCAATTGGAGCATTAACCCCCCCACACTCCCATTATCCCACAATGCAGCTTGGGCATCTAAGAGAATCAAAGTAAACAAACCCAACAGGAGCCCCAAATCACAGGTAAATAGTACAACATGTTTTACTTGTTTTTTTTTAGCCAAAAAAAACCCCAAAACACTAAAACCAACATGTTTTGAGGGTCACAAGCTCTCCCTTCCATCGGGGTTTAAAGATCACAAACTTAAATACACACTATGAGAAAATCGGAAGAAAAATTCCATACGAGGGGCAATCGTTCAATTTTCATATAGTATGTACACAACTTTTGACATGCGATTCCAATCTTCTAGACTTTCCAAATGAAAATTCAGAAGGGACCAACGCCAAAAGTTTTCTCGTATGTGAACAGAGCTAACAATTTTAGTTTAACCATTTGCCGCCCGCCCTATGGCCGAATGGCGGGCGGCGAACGTCATCATCGTTCCAGGTGGACGCCATATGGTGTCCTCCCGCACATGCGCAGATTGCGCTCCTGCAGAGCGGAGCAGCGGCGCGATCTATCATCGGCCATGTACCTTGGACATGGCCGATAACAGTTCTTAGTATCGGCCCCGTTGCCGGTACCATGTGACCTGCTGTGACCAATCACAGCAGGTCACATGACAGTTGTATACAGTTGTATACAATGGATGGCTTCATTCATGCCATCTATTGTATACTAGTGTCTAGCTGTGAATGGTCACAGCTAATCACATGCACATGTCATGTGATTAGCTGTGGCCAAATCACAGCTAAGCACAAAAAAAAAAAAAAAAAAAACCTGAATGAATCGATGTCATTCAGGTAAATGCTTGCTTATAGCAAAGTAATTCTTTGCTATAAGCAAATTGTGTAAAAAAAAAAAAAAATACTGATCACTTCCCCAAAGTAGTATGTTACCATAGTAACATTGTACTACTTTGGTCATAGTGAAATATGAAAAAAAAAAATCTTAAAAAAAAGAAAAAAAATTTAATAAAAAAATTATTAAAAAAAATGAAAAATGAAAAAAAAAAATATTTTTTTTTTTCATACTGTCACCAGTCAGTGTCCCTGATCACTGCCATGCCAGTTATATGATGACGCTGTACTGCACTGGTGACAATATGTAAAAAAAAAAAAATAGTGAAACAAATTTTTTAAATTTTTTCATTTTCCGAAAAATTATGACAAAAAAAAATACAACTTCAAAAAACTCGCCATGCCTCTTATGAAGTACGTCGGACTGTCTACTTTGCAAAAAGGGGTCATTTGGGGATATCTGTACTGTTTCATTCTTGGACCTCAAGAAATTAGATTGGCCGTCAGTACTTCAGGATTGATCAATATTCAGATCTATACCATAGTTTGTGAACTCTATAACTTTCCTACAAACTAAATAATACATCCTAATTTGGGTTATTTTCACCAAAGACATGTAGCAGAATACATCTCGGCCTAAATTTATGAAGAACAATTATTTATTTGCAAACTTTTATAACAAAGAAAAAAACTTTTATTTTTAATTTTTGGTCTTTTTTTGTTAATTTAGCAAAAAATAAAAACCCCAGCGGTGATTAAATACCACCAAAAGAAAGCTCTAGTTGTGTGAAGAAAATGATAAAATTTTAGTTTGGGTACAATGTTGTATGACCACGCAATTGTCACTCAAAATGTGAGATCAACGAAACCTGAAAACTGGCCAGGGCAGGAAGGTGTAAAATTGCCCGGTATTGAATTGGTTAATGTGTACGGTTTTCATACGAGAAAAAATCAGATGCGAAACACAGTGCATGATCAGAAACCATGAATAACACACCAAAAAAAAAAGCCTTTGCTGTACATTAAGCGCAGTACACACCAGTTTTTCTCGATGTTGTACAGCAGATCAAAACGAAGAATGGTACTAAATTCCCAAACTACAAAGATGCTTTATTATTGTTTATGGTTTCTGATCATGCGCAGTCTTTCGTATCTGATTTTTCTTGTATGAAAACTGTACACATTAAACGAAAATTGTACGAGAAAATTTTTCTAGTTTGTCCCTTTGTTGAACGTTGTATAGACACTATACGTGAATCAAATGATCATTCTTCAAATGTAATTTTTCTTCCAGTTTTCTCATAGTACCCCACTTTAGTTCCTCACTTTTGACTTGCTGTGAAACATCGAGGAAAACTGGATGACCGTTCACCCGATTTTCTTATAGTGTGTACCCATCTTTACATGGTTTTAAGGAATCTTTTTAGCAAACAAAACATATATTAAATGATCACCACAGCCAGTATTAATGGCAGTACACTAAAGCCCCTTTGAATATGGCCATGTATGCTTGTTCAATCATTAACCCCCGATGAAGGATGAGCTTGTGACCCCTGAAATGTGTTGGCTCTGTGTTTGCAAGAAAATAAAAAAAATATATATTTTTTACTTTCTGCTATAAAACATATTCAATAAAAAAACTTTAAAAATCAAATTTCTTCCTAAATTTGGGACAAAATGTATTCTGCGACATGTCTATGATAAAAAGAAAAATACCAACAGGTGTATATTGATTGGTTTGCGTGAAAATTATAGCATCAACAAACTATTGTATATATATACTGGATTTTCTATACTACCAGTGGTGGTAATCAGTGACTTATAATGGGACTGTGATAGTGCGTCGGGCAGTCTCACACTAACTGACCCTGGGGGGGGGGATTAACTGTGACTGATATCGCCAGTGACATTAATACAGTAATCATTAATAATACTATACACTGACACTGTACTAATCACACTGGCTAGGAAGGGGTTAACGTATACGGCAATCAAGGGGTTAAATGTGTGCCGAAGTGTGCTGCTTTTACTAATGGATCTCTAGGTTTCTCATCCCTGCTTTGCGCGGATGAGAAACAGAGAGGTGGTTCTCTCTGTACAGAGCTCTGTGTTGATTGTCAATACAGAACTCTGGGCTGTGATTGGAGACAGCCAAATCAGCAGGTCCCGGTCGTGAATCATTGGCTGGGATGTGCTGACAGGCTTCTGCTGTGTACAGCCTTTCTTTCTGTAACTAGGACAGGGCTAAGCAGTACCCCGTGTTCTAGCACATGCTGCTTGTGTCCACAGACTATGATGGATAATCCTGCAGATGAATGGTTCCTCAAACTCGGTATAGTCTATGGAATTGGGCAGAGCATGCACAACCTGTGACTGCTATAGCTTGATGGGTCCTGTTAGCGATTGCAGGTCCTAGAGAGTGGGAAAACTTCTAGCACTTATCTGGAGGGCAAAAGGGGACTTTAAGAGGAAGGCTGGAATCTAATTTCAGTTCCACTTTAATGAACTAGATTATTTAAAATTGCTGATATAAAGTCGTGGAATTGACCAATCAAAACCTTAGCCTTTCCTTCCCTACTCTTCCCAGTATCACAATGAACCCCATTCCCTGCAATTAATTAATTTCTCACGTCCTCCTTTAGCATGGTCTCCGCCGCTTCCGTCATCACGCTGATGGCATCGTCCGTCTTTTTACGGTTGATGAAAATTACTCCAGCCAACCAGCATGCCAGACCAGCAGTGCCAGCATACATCAGCTCACGTTTGGCGATGGGTACACAGCGACCCGGCAAGATTTCCATCATTCCTGGGGAAAAGCCAAAGAAATGCTTATTAGACGTGTGGAGCAATTAATTTGCAGTTAAGTAGCCAGTCAGTGCAACTTGAAGCGAACAGGAGTTTCTAAAGTGAAAGTTTCCTCTACTCTATAAAAAAAAATTTAAATTGCTGCCTACAAAAGCACCAAAAGGTAGCGAACAGTACCCTACTTGCCCGAAAACGCTTCCTTTGTGTATCTTCCCTGATTTATTTCACTTTGTTATGGAGGCTTAGACTTCTAAATCTAGAGAACAAGACTCCTCACCATCTGTGTCACCAAGTTCAAGCCCCCCAGTACTTTCTATCCAACAAGAGTGCCTTATTGATCAGAAAAGCAATCTCACGGAGCAAAAAGTTAACAGGTTGGCAAATTTAGTGTTTAGGGATTAAATAACATTTGCCAAATCTAGCAATGATCTCCTATCCAGGATGTAAAATCCCACAAGCCAGAAGTTTTTAGGTATAACCAAAGACTAGGAGACCTAAAAATGCAGTTGATTGTGGAATGTACTTTTTCAGTAAATGGGGTTTCAGTAAAAATACTTGAAAAACATGATGCATGACTTTTGGCATGGTGGTCACCTGCATTTCTAGTTGAACTCAGTACCATCATAAGCTCCGCACCCGTTCTAAATGTGGAAGACAAGGAAGATGTACAGGTTAGGGGTGGATTGTTGTATGTATGTGTAGCACCGGCTAAGTAGATAGGGTTTTTTTTTTTGTTAGTTAGAGGCATGTTGTCAGCCTGGGAGTAAGGCAGCAAGGTTACCTCAGGTCAGGCTGAGAGGCTCTAAAGGTCAGGGCTTCTGGAGCCCTTCCACCTTTTATAAACTGTAGGAACTTTCTAGAAGAGGGGAGGAGGCCTAGCCTTGCATATTGAACTTGAAACGTAGTGTGTGTGTGTTTGGAGTGGAAGATGGACTGAAAGAAGGCGTTGAAGCGTGGAGCCTGGGAGGGGGGCCTACCTACAGGCTGGAGCAGAAAGAAGGATCTCCACTAACGTACTGTCTCCTAGGGAGGACAGCCTGTCAGTAGGGAAGGAGCCAGCCCAGCGTAAGGCCTAAAAGCAGCTACAACCTACAGGAAAAGGACAGTGTGAATACAGAAGGGAGAGGGCAGTCAGGTGTCAGGTGCAGTCAGGTGCAATACCCAAACTAGTCGTCATCTGGAACTGCTTCACAGTGGATTCTGGAATCCCTTGCCCAGTGATACCCTCAGGACAGCCGGGTGGGTGAAGAGAGTTTAATCTGGGGTCTGAGGAACTACACCAAAGGGGACTCAGTGCTCCTTAAAGAGATAGTTGCCGATTTTGGATCCACATTTTGAACAGTGTTTGCTTAGAATTTTTTTGAATTTTACAGTTTCTCGGGCATCCCATATACCCCTAGACCCCATCCAAGTTCTTAAGCCCTAATGAAAACAAAAACAAGCTCAGGGACTGTTTTACTAACTCAGAGAAAGTGTGGAAAATGCTTGTTGCTTGGCTGTGCTGCTTGCTGGCAACTACAGCGGGACAGCGTAGGCATTTATGGCGTTAGCCCTGGAGGGCGAAGGACCTTGTAGGCTTCAGTTATTCATGGCGGTCTTGGACCATTTCCCAGTCGGTGTACTCAGTTCAACGATACAGATGGGATCTTGATGGATGATTTTATCACTCCAAGATCAGTTTAATACCTCTACACTGACAGATTGTGCCCTATACAGCTCACCTTTCTTGCATATAGGAAGGGATCGCCCTTACATATTATAACAGTTGATTAACAATGGTTGACACACGTGTTCTGTCTGGACCAGAATTGGTGATATGACTACGCTACCCCAATATATTTTATACGACTGAATGCTTCTATATTTGGTCCAATCTGTCTGGAATCGGTAACACTATTGTACCTCCATTTGTAGGAAGGAAGCTCTTTTGAGGGGCTGTTGACCTATTGGGGTCCCCCTGTCGACTGGCCCTGGCTGTGAGGGCTCCAATCCCCCTTCCCAACGCCCGCTATGATGCCTGTGGATTAAGTAACTCCTGAGGAAGCAATATCTTTGCAAAACATGTTAAGTCACTATATCCATTAACATCAGAATATGCCTTTTTACACCTTTACCAGGTTACGGTATATTTGTATGCATTAACACTTTATGTACCTACGAGATTTGTAACTGCACAGAGTGGATCATCCCATTGGGGGACTACATTCTCTGCAGATATTTTTACTAATTGCTGCATATTTGTGTATACTCAATAAAGTAGCAATTTTAATGAACATTGTCGCAGTGCCTATAAAGTCCATTCTTTGGCCTTCCCTCCCTGCTTAGCAAAGCTGTACTTACGAGTTTATGGATTGATCTGCAGCACTCTAAAGATTAGCTACCCTGAGGGGTGTTCAGATTGCGCCTTACATACAACCGCCTCCTAATGTCCATTATCAGCCTTAGTGTCTAGCATGTGTATTAGATGCAGAAGGGGATCAGACATTACGAATGAAGAGAAACCAAGATTGGCTTTCTGCCCATAAAGCTGGAATTACAGTTTGACTTATTGCCATTTGCTTTATTGTTAAGACATCAATAAGATGGAAAGGCTTTAAAACCTCAAGGCTGCATTTCTCCAGAGTTCTTGTGCTTAGAAATAAAATCTAGAACTTATTACAGCAAACTGTAAACAGATGGTCTGGCTAGAATTACAAAGTATTGCTTGTAACAGTTCCGAAACGTTAGCATAGAGGTGACCAGGGGCGGACTGACAACTCATGGAGCCCCCGGGCAATAGGGGATCATGGAGCCCTTGTGTCCTTGCCCAAACTCAAAAAAGCCTATGAAAAAGGTACCAGGGGCATCTCATGGGGCCCCCTACTGACCCCAGGCCCTCGGGCAGTGCCCGAGTTTCCAAATGGTCAGTCCGCCCCTGGCAGTGACCTATACTTATCTCGGCCAGCTTAAGGTAGCACAGTGACTTAGCGGTTTTAACTTCTGCCTTGCAGCACTTGGGTCCTCAGATCAAATCCTGACCAGACCACTATCTGCATGAAGTTTGCATATTTTCCCTATGCTTGCATGGGTTTCCATCAGGTATTCTGGCTTCTTCCCACATTTCAAAAACATGCTGGTAGGAATTGGCTCTAGTATATGTATGCATATGAGATCAGGACCTTAGACTGTAAGCTCCTTGAGGGCAGGTAATGATGTGAATATACACTCACCGACCACTTTATTGGGTACACCTGTTCAATTGCTTGGTAACACAAAATGCTAATCAGCCAATCACATGGCAGCAACTCAATGCATTTAGGCATCTAGATGTGGTGGAGACAACTTGCTGAAACTCAAACCAAGCATCAGAATGGGGATTTAAGTGACTTTGATAGTGGCATGATTGTTGGTCTGAATATTTTAAAAAACTACCCATCTACTGGTTTTTTACGCATATTCATCTCTAGGGTTTACAGAGAATGGTCCAAAAAAGAGAAAAAGATTTAGTGAGCAGCAGTTGTGTGGACGAAAATGCCTTGTTGATGTCAGAGGAGAATGGGCAGAATATAACTGGATACTAATATTTATAGGTAAAGTTGATCCAGGGAATATTTGATTGCATTTCCGGGGATCAGGAAGGAATTTTTTTCCCTGCAGGAGCAAATTGGATCATGCTTTGCTGGGTTTTTTGCCTTCCTATGGATCAACTGTGGGTCAAGCATTAACACTTTCTTTTTTTTTTTGTTTAATGGTTGAACTGGATGGACTTTTGTCTTTTTTCAACCAGACTAACTATGTAACTATGGTTAATGATAGAAAGACAACAGAAACTCATGTCAATATGGACCAAAATCTGAGGCATGTTTCCAACACCTTGTTGAAAGGGGTGCAACCCAGTACTAGCAAGGTGTACCTAATAAAGTGGCCACTGAGTATACAGTAGGTAAAAAAATAACTAATGAACCACTTTCTGCCCATAGGACATCATATGATGCCCTTGACTTGCAGTGGTTATGCTGGGATAATGCCTGCAGCTACAGGCATCATCCCAGTATCATTTTTTTTTTCTTCAAGCGATCCTGAAGAATATAAAAGCAGTCCTTGCGGCTCCCGATGCCTTTCCAGGCTCTCTTGTTCCTCCTGGGATCCCGGGACTGCTGGAGTTGACGCTGGCTTATTATAGAGATGATCAAGGACCAGAATGTCCCTAAACATCTCTATGGCATAAGAAACCAGAAGTGACGGAGTATTTTGTCACTTCTGGTTTCATCAGGATGTAAAAAAGCCATTACTGGCTTGTAAAAACATCTAATCAAACTGATCATGGTTTGTTCAAATGCTTTTAAGGGCAGAGGAGAGATCTGGGGTCTAATAGACCCAGCTCTCTCCATAGAGAGGACTTGTCACTGCTCCAGCTATTGCAAGGGATGTTAAATCCAGGATACGCAAATACTGTCTATATACAAGAGGCATGTGTATTTTTGGTACAATGGTTTCTTCCAGATACGTGCAGGAGCTTCGAGTAATAAAGACCGCTCACTGCTGCTCTCTCGCCTTGTTCAGGTTGACTGGTCTGGTCTCCGCCTCCCCCATAGTATTCAGCAGGCAGCCTGTAGTGGGTGGGGCCTGCTGAGCCCCTCCCACAGCTCTGTTCTCTGCACAGGCTATAGCCAGCACAGTGATGATGTCACCACTATATTTATATAGCAATACCAAGATTTGCAAAGGCATTTAGTGCACACACAGTAGATTATACCCTCTGTGGCTATACAGGAATATATTGAAATGAAAGTTTTGTGTGTGGAGTTCAGCTTTAAGTGCAGTGGCTGTTCTAATATTCTGTTACAAATCCTTTAATTCTGAACAAGCTCTGACAAAAAACTCTCTCTCTGCTATTACAGTGATCGCTATGATCTAACAGATTAAATACAACTTCGTCATAATTTTTTTCTTTTTTTTTAGATGATCAAAAGCTTGAAATTGTTTCAGATTCTAGATGTTCCTCAAAGACCAAACCTTAGT